CCGCCCCTCACCTCTGCCAGCCGGTGAGGATGATGCCCTGGAAGCGCAGCGGGGCCAGCCGTGGCAGGGCCTCCATCACCTTCAGCCAGCTCAGGTGGTTTTTGAGGTGGTAGCTCAGGGGGGGCCAGCTCTGCGCCGGTCCCGTGGTGCCCTTGAAGGCGCTGGCGAACCAGACCGCCTCGAAGCCGCTCTCTGCATACTTGGCGAGGAACGGCCCTGCAGCAGGACAGGTGCCACCAGTGCCACCGTCCCCAGGGAGCTGGGGGGTCTCAGTGGGGATGTCCCTTATTGATTGCCACCTTACCGATCTGCTCAGCCTCAAAGTCAGGTGCGTAGAACCACACCACGGGCGAGACGTGCTTCGCTATCCCAGACTCTGTGGGGACAGCAGGGATGGGGACATGAGCAGGGGTGCCAGCAGCAGGAGGATGGCTGGGGGTCCTCATGCTCCCCCTGAGACCCGTGTCCTCTCAGGGCCAGGCACTGGTTCCCACTGGGCATGACGCCTGCCAGGGTGGCCATTCACATGGGTGCTACTGAGACCCCTGGCTCAGGTGCCACCACTGCCATCCTCATCCTCTCACCCTGCAGGGCTCCCACGCTGATCTTCCTCAGCATGTCGTCCCACATGAGCACCCGCAGCCCCCAGTACTGCGTGGTGATGAAGCCCAGCACCTCCTTGATGTGCTTCAGGTACATGGTCCCCGTGTCACCCTTGTTGTGGCTCAACCAGTTCTTGGAGTCCAACCCCTCCCCGAGATGGAAGACCTGGATTTGGGGGAAGGGGGATGCTCAGCACCCCTGGGAGCAATGCCTGGCACCCGGGGCGAGGGCTGGGGTCCCTGCATGGCCCATTGCCCACCTCGTCTGCGCCGATGTGGATCCAGGTGGAGTGCTTGTGCTTCTCGATCACCTGTGACAAGATGCTCTTGAGCAGGGCCAGGGTGTCAGGGACGTGGGGGTTGAAGCTGTTGGGGAAGCGCTCGACCTCCCGCAGGTGCTGGTACTTCTCGTGCTTGAGGATGAACTGAGCAGAAAGAGCTGTCAGGGGGGGCTTCAGGGGGAACGCCCCATGATGTGGGATGAGGAGCAGGACCCCCTACCTCCACATGCCCAAAGGTCTGCACCAGGGGAACCACCTCCAGCTTGTGGAGCTCTGCCAGCTGCTGGATCCGCTCGACGTCCTCCTCACTGGGAGGGCAGGGACATGCTCGCCAGGGGATGCCCGGGCAGAGTGTGAAGGCACTTCCTCCTCCTTCTCCAGCACCCTGCCCATGTAGCCCCGGCCACCCCATGCCTGTGTGGACTTTACTATGGGGACACAAATATTGACCCAGCAGGGCAGGAAGCTGGTCTGCCGGCGGCACAGCCCGGCACTCT